AACAAGATAGATAATTTGAATTTAATTTTGTAGATAATTTAAATTTCCCAAAATACTCTTGCACATCATTCTTCTGATAGTTTTCGATCATTTCTTGATAACGATAAATAACAACTTCATTTTCTTTGATTCATGCGCTATTTGTGTCAACAGATGGCATCAACAGTATTACTGTTACAATTTATCCTTCATTGATAAGATCTAATTATTACTTCTTAAGCGATAATATCTCAAATGAATGTAGAAATTATTATTGCAAATAAATTTTAAAAAAAAAATTAGTAAATTTTTGAAAAAATTTAGTTTTCAGGACAAAAAATAAAATGAAGGAGATGATGAAGGATGATTCAAAGAGAAATATTTTTTAAATTTAAAAATTTTTCAAAATTTTTTCAAATTCATTTACGCTTAAATTATCGATAATCATATTTGTTAAGAAATTATCGGTAATCATATTTGTTAAGAAATTATCGATAATCATATTTGTTACGAAATTATCGATAATCATATTTGTTAAGATTATTTTGATTACTTCCATTTTTTTTTGATCCTCAAATTATATCATCTCTAATTAGGATTAATGATACCTTATTAGCTTAAATAACAATAGTAATTGGAAATGTAAGGAAAATATCTTCCTTGTCAAACTAAAAAATATGCAAATGATCTGAAATATTTCAAATTCTAACATTTGGCATAAGATAGTTATGATTAATAATCGTACATTTGAAAAATTTCAAACCTCACATCAAAATTTTTAAATTTTAAATTAATTGAATTTGATTCACAAAATTAATATTTATTTGACCATTACAATTAATTTATGATTAATTATATGCTGACCAATTATTGATTTACGATTTAATTGTATACTAATCACTTATTAGTTTACGATTAATTGCTTGCCGGTTCAAAGATTATCCCATGATAATAAAATGATTGATACCACAAGATTTTCATTTCTTTCATTGTTGAAGAAATATTTTTCAATCTCCATATAGCTGAGCTTAATTTTGAAGTGTCAAATAAAGTGGCAATTTCGTCGGAATTATCATTTTCCATTGATTAATTGATGCAGACGACATTTTCATTTATTTAATCAAAAATGAATAAATTAATAATTTATGAATTATAATTTTCCAAGATTTTCATTATCTTCGTCATAAAAGTTAAACAAAGATTCTAAATAATTTTTTATATTAAGCAAGTTTTTAAGTTTTCGAATTATGTCTTCAATTTATAAATTTGAATTTAGTTTTTTTTTTGCAATCACTGTTGCTTTTACATATTTCATATTATTCGATAATATTTCCAAGCATATTCTACGATTTCTTTTTTTTTTTTGAATTCCCAGTTGATATAATGATGTATTAATTATGTATTTCAACAATTACTGCAAATAAATTACCCTATTGTTTCAGAAATATAAAATCTACATGCATCATTGAATGTAACAAAATATATTTTTGAAATTTTTGAAAAAAAAACAAAAACAAAGATCTATAAAACTTTAATATACACTAATATATCGGTATTTTAAGTTTTCATCAACCGATACATCACAAAAATTGGAAAGGCCTGCAACAATTTGTCAAGCATCATCGTCAACGCCTGTCGCAACAAAATCAAATTATCGTCATTCCGCTAATCTACAACGCATTTCTACACCACAAACATTTACAGTAATCATTAATTTCAATTAAACTATTTGATGAATAAAATGTTGAAATTTTACAAATTCAAAATTCTTTTCAATAAAAAAAAAAAGAAATTTACCACATAAAATATAATTGTAAAATTTTCAATTTTTTGTTTTTGAAGCAAAATTTACTAATTTAAATTTAGATAGTAAAAAAAGTAATCAAAATTTTTTTTTTTAAATTAAATTTACGTTTAAAAATTCTTTTCAGTGTAAAAAAAACTTACTGCATAAAATATAATTGTAAAATTCTCAATTTTTCGTTTTTGGAACAAAATTTGCTGATTTAAATTAGGTAATAAAAAAAATAGTAAACTTTTTTCCAAAAATTAAATTTATGTTTAGAAAAATAAATTTCAAATTTTCTCTTATCATTATTTCAGCATATACAAGAAGAAGAAATACTTCGTCCAATTTGTCGCACTCAAACAACTCCATCATTATGTTATGATGAACGTTTGTAAGTTTATTTTTTGTTTTTTTTTTTTTTTAAAAAAAAGAAAGAAAGCAAAAAAGTTAAAGTGAAGTGATTTTTTTTTCCTCAAAATGAAAAAAAAAAACAAAAATAAAATGAAAATGAAATTAATAATTATACTTTTACATTATCTTTTTTTCCCAAAGCTAAAATTTTTATTTCAAAGTACAATTGAAGCAATCGAAGTAAATAATTTAAAATAAATTAAAAAGTAAATTAAAATATAGTTAAAGTGAGGTAATTGAAGTAAATGATTGCGAAGTGTAATTGAAATTTCTAAAAATCGACCACTACAATTAAATTGAAAATTGTTAAAGCGAAAAAAATCAAAGAAAAGAAAAATGACTCGAAATTTGAAATCTTAAAAAAATTGATACAAATAATCAACAAAAATTTATGGAAGTTTTTTTTTTCCCCTCTACCCTAAAAATAGCATATTTTCCAAGTTAATGTGCTTTAAAATTTTAAAAATAAATTCGGGCAAAATTTTTATTTTTATGATAGCATAATTATTTCATCAGGATGTGCAAAATTTTGTTAAATAAACAAGGTTTTGTTGTATTTTCATTTTAAATTTCCAAAATTTAAATTTTTTTCAAACTTTTTTAAAATTTATAAAATTTGAAATTTTTTTTAGAACAGAATGGATCTATCCGATTGATGAAACATTAGAAAAACAATTGGAACAAGTGGCATATTTCTGTAAACGAGCACATCGGTCAGTGTTAAGTGGCTACTACTACTACTATTTACTTTTGTTATGCAACAATGTAGTAATATTGGATTTGAGCAATTAATAAGATTTTGTAGTTTATGCAAATTAATTACTTGACCTCATTATAGCTAACAGTAATTAGTTAAAATTAGTATTAATAAATTGTAAAATTACCAGGAAAGTTAATAGACATTTAGTAAATGGAATGGAATAGCTATTTGTAATTACTGTAATTAAGTAATTTAAAATGAAATGAATTAATGAATCAATGGGTTGCAAATTAATATGTAGAATTAATAATTATTTTAATTAATCTATTTATCATTTTAAGTAGATCGTAATAAATCAATCTCGAAACATCTAGCATATATTCTCTTATGCATTTACACTTTTGTATGAAATATTTTTCTCCTATTATTGTAGTGAATTCTTTTAAAATAAATTAATTCAAATTTTAAAATTTTAAAAAATTTTAAATTTCAATAATTACAGAAATCGAATCATAGGTGCATTATTGGAGCAACCTGAAGGAGCATTTGTTATTCGTTTCTCAGAATCTAAACGGAAATGTTTAGCATTAAGTGTTCGAGTACCATTTAAGCATAATCCAACTGGTGTATCACATTATCTCATTATTCGAAATGATAATGGATTTAAATTAAGGGTCTTATTTTATTTGTAATATTTTCTAATAAATTATATTTTAGTAGTGAAAAAAAGAAAAATTGAAAAAACCAAAAAATTTTTAAAATATATTATTTTTCGAATCACTTTCTTTCTTTCTTTTTTTTAATTTCAATTTTTACAGGGTTCAAACAAATATTTCCCATCAATACCTATGCTTGTTACGCATCATTCTGTAATGCCTGAACAACTTCCATGTCGTTTGATATTTGCGCATTGGGGTAATATGTGGAAATGCAATGAAATGAACAATAATTATGATTATCCACCTTGTGAACAGGTGGAATGTTCAAATGAAATGTTTAAACATAATCGGTGATCATTTTGGTTCAGAATTGATTGATTCAATAAGAAGAAACAAATAATCCGGTTTAATTCATAGAAGAAATTAACCTCAAAATATTCAGAATTCAATATTACCGATGATATTCGCTTCATTCATTTCAGGATATAAAGAAATAACACTTATGTTTTTGTATTATTTCATATAATTTGTTATAAATTTTTTGTTGTAGAAAGTTTGATGTAATTTATAAAGGAAATGTCAGATTTATTGAAATCTTATTTTGGATAAATTTCTCTCAATTAAATCAGTGCAATAAAACAGAGCAACTATAAGTGGAATGCACTTTCATTGGGCAAATATTTTGTTGCACCTTCGAAAAAAAAAAAAGATATATCATATAGAGTCCTATAACAATATTCAAAATGAAACGAACAATTTTTTTTTTCTTTCTTTTTTGTACAAAAAGTAAGCATTATATATGTGGTGAAAAGATGATTAAAATTTGATAGCCAACAAGGAAATAATGACAGAGAAGAAAGACTATGTGTAAATATATATGCATGAAAATTATACAGCTAACAACAGCAAATGTTCCTCATTTCTGCATTTCTGAATTAATTGTTCCCTATATGTTAGGAAAAAGAAAAATAAACAATTTAACAAGTGAGCAAATATTGAACATAGGAATTCAAATCAGAACTGGAATTTAGCCAATTAATTTCAAAAAAACTATGTTAAAAATTTAGTTAATTTTAAACTGTACTAAATTATTCACTGTTCACTAACATCAACATCAGTATTCACTATCAACATAACACATTCAACAGAGCATTCACGTTACAGCTGTTGCTTATGGAGTAGCATTACAAACAGAACCGGATAAAAAGTAAAAGTATTATGGGTTTGGTCGAACTGAAATCAAAGCCATGTGAAGTTCAGCATGAAATCCGACTGTTACATATGAACAGACGGTGAATAAGCCTGGCGCTATCTGCAAATAAATCTATAATTATCATGGTGGAAGGAAATGAACATCAATGTATCGCTAAGGAAGTGTAATATGAGCTTTAAAAGTATTCAGGTAATAGGATATAAAGATATTGCAACATTAAACCCATCAGCTGAACACTAGGCATGTATTAGAAATGTTATTATAATAAAAGAAATACCAACTTGCTAACAATAGTTATTAACACAAACCTGATAGTCCAAAAAGTCCAACCATGCAGCAAATTCCTTTTCCATACCAGGCCAAGGGTGTGTCTTATATTCAGCATCTTCTGAAGTGACGCGAATACGAAAGAAGATATGCCTGAATAAGATACAGTTGGATTCAGCATAATTTATATGATTCAATCCATCAGTTATGAATATAAGGCAAACAGAAACCTTTTGGTCATTCAGTGAACTGTATCCCTAGTCATGAAATACCCCGGTCATCCATATACTTCTTGAAAGGAATTTAAGAACTAGCCCAACCAATTTATTAATATTCGTTATTAAGATTCTCGCATTCACAAATCAACACGAGACAATGTCTTCCCATATCATTTGAAATTCCGGAACTGTTTCACCATTTTCGATTAGTAATGAAGTTTAACTAACAACCAATATCATCGAGATGAAATGTCTAAATCTAATTTTTGTAAGTTAATAAGAAGTAATTCGAACTTACGTCCCATTATTTTCCCTTGATCTTTGCATGAATTCCAATAGAATTAAAACAGAAGCAAGACAAACCTCAAATCATGTTCGATGAGAGCAGTGATGAAAGGGACTAGTGTTGTTGCAATTTGCGCAACAATCTGTTCACTGACACTGAAAACTTTTGATTGAACACGTTGGACGAATCGGCCTTTTGCAACATTGTACACACTAACCAGTCTAAGCGACCAATGCACTTGATTCGGTATTAGATATGATGAACCCAAAATTCTTGATTTTTTCAAACCATACTGATAACAGCCCTACAATGTTCTAGCTCAACAGTGCGAATTACCTCTGAAAATTCCAATAAATACAAGATAAAATATTATCATATCATGTAACTCGACAAATTTTTTAATGATGATCTGATTACACACTGCATTGGCATCCTAAGAGAAGTGCCTACCGATAAAATTGTTTTACGCACTCGCTGTATAGGTTGTTGGTAGTACTAATATTAATATTGAAACAAGTATTAGTATTAAAAAATGAAACCACAGTAATGTGCTGAATAAATAACAAACAAACAATAACAAACAATAACAATAACAAACAATTAATGAGCGATTATCAATTGGAGATACCAATCCACCAACAAGCTGCTGTGAATACGAATCATCATCCCAGTTAATTGAAAATTTCATTGCCGATGAATCCTGTTCAAAATCCCGTCCAACCAAAAGTGCTTCAATAAGTGATTCCATTATATCTGATCGAAATCGAATTGTCACGCCGTCCTCCAAAAGAATTACATTCAGGATGCTGTGAATGAAAGGGGATTTTGACGAAAGTGCAATAGTGTTTGCTATGTGACAGGTAATAGCAGCAGTACTGTTCTTCGATGCATGTAAAGATTCTGTGGAATAGAGAGACAGTATTAGAGGAACAGATTCCATTCTATGAGTTACATTGTTGGAGACAAAGACATGAGAGGAGTTCAAATTGAATAGCCATGTAAGTAGCAGATGTCTTATTCCTATTTCAATTTAAAACACCTCATTATTTAGTTAACGAAAATGGAAAAACTAAGGACATTAG